TATATATATATATATATATATATATGTGTGTGTGTGTGTGTGTGTGTGTGTGTGTGCATATGCATGTATGTATGTCATCATCATTATCATCATCATCAAGCCTCATCCCAACTATTTATAGTCCACCATTCAAATCCTATTCCGTCATTCTGCTCTATAAAAGGTCATACCATTAGTCAGACTATATGTCACTATATCTCTTCTAACTACTTCCATCCATGTCCTTTTGGGCCTTCGCCTTGCCATTTTCAAAGCTTTCACCTAAGCCAAACCTCCCCTCCTATCCAGCGTTGTTCAAGGTCGACACGAAACATGGCCAAACCATTTAAGTCTACTTTCCCTCATCTTATAGTTTATTAAAGCCACCCTAAGTTACCCTTGGATGTATTCATTCCGAATTGTAGCTTTTCTTGTCTTGCCACTCATCTATCTCATAACCATCATCTCAACTACACTCATTCTATGAAAATGTTGTTTCTTGACTGCCCAATATTCCATTCCATAAAGAATGACTGGTCTGACAGCCGTCCTATGTATGTAAGCATATATGTAGGTATACATGTATATATGTATGTATGTCTACACACACACAGATATATACATGTCCTCATCAAGAGAGTCCAGCTTTTATCAATCCTTTTCTACATGCTCATGGGGAGCTGTGAGAAGAAAGATGTATTTGTAAACTTCTCGAGAAGGTCCTTTTCATTTCTTTTCTTTTTTTAACTCTCACTAAAAGGTCTGTTGCTATAGTTAAACAGTAAGTAAAAACTCCCTATGCTTGCTTAGTAGAAAAAGCATTGACCATATCATTGAATGAAGAGACTGCACAAAAGGGAAGATCCATGTCTTTCATTTTAGGCTAGGACTAATCAATGCTTTGCCAGAGAGAGCGACAAAGCCCTGTCATTTAGTAATTATTTGACTCGGGACAAAGCCCTGTCATTTAGTAATTACGTATGTAAGCATATATGTAAGTATGTCTACATACACACAGATATATACATGTCCTCATCAAGAAAGTCCAGCTTTTATCAATCCTTTTCTACATGCTCATGGGGAGCTCTGAGAAGAAAGATGTATTTGTAAACTTCTCGGGAAGGTCCTCTTCATTTCTTTTCTTTTTTAACTCTCTCCAAAAGGTCTGTTGCTATAGTTTAAACAGTAAGTAAAAACTCCCTATGCTTGCTTAGCAGAAAAGGCATTGGCCATATCATTGAATGAAGAGACTGCACAAAAGGGAAGATCCATGTCTTTCATTTTAGGCTAGGACTAATCAATGCTTTGCCAGATAGAGCGACAAAGCCCTGTCATTTAGTAATTATTTAACTCGGGGAAGGCAAGATGGTCTTTATCATCCAGTATGAAGACAATGTACTAAGGCATACCCTCAAAAAGTGTTAGAAGATGCACAAAGCAGGTCATCCGTCCTATGCGGTGGCAGCAACATATTTGCTATAAATGTCGACCAAGGGGAGGGCAAGAGTGCTCCTACATCTTAATTCACACAATAAGAAAAACAGTCTCCATAAGTAGTACTGTTCTTCCTTGGAGACTTCGGCATTTTTTTTACGAGATTTATGATCGATGCAGGGGTATGCAGGTCTCCTGGACTCATATCTGGAGGGAGGCAAACCAGGTCGCGGATGGTCTAGCCAAACAAGGAGCTGCTTCTGGTCTTATCTCGGGTTAATTGGGCTTTGGTTTAACTGCCCACCGTTTTCGGGCACTTCTTTTACCCCTACAGCGTTAGGTGGTTCTGTTTTACTTTATTGCATCCTCCATCTTATGCTTTTTTGCAGTTTGGTCACGTGCCTTGGTGACATTTTGTACTCTGATCCTCTGGGTCTTTTTTGTATTTCTCTTATCCTTCAATACAACGTTAACATTATAAAAAAAGTAGTATTGTTTTTCCTAATGACTCTGTAAATGCCTCGAATAATCTCTGCCTCTATATTAATAGAGTTGTTTTGGCCTTGGATTATGGAACTTGGAGGCACTAATTAAAAGAGAGGATTGTCATCTGCATTTGTCTTACATTTCATTTACTAATAATTCTTGTGTATATAACTTAATCTCACTGATGATTTCTTATTCCTACAATCTGGATTTTAAGTGTTAGGCCCCACATCTTCTCTTTAGTATGTTAACCATAGAATAATTGTACAAGAACAACCAATGTAGACCCTAGTCTCAACTAGAAGAGATCAAGCCTCTCCATTTTACACATCATCATCCCCTGGGATCCAAGAAAGCCTTAAAATTTATCCCCTTGTTAACTTGAAACAGTCCCCCAGTCTGACTAGATCACGGTTGCCAACTGGGCAACCATAAATTTTCACTATCCCTGTATGAGACAAGGTACATGTTAGGATTACGGTAGGCAGTCTCCTTGTCAGTGACCAAACCAATGGTTGATAAAGTCAACGGTCTTTATGCCCCCAAATTTGAACTTGCTACTGCCTAGCATTAATATCATCCTAATTTGGTCTTCAAAAGCCAAGCAGCTAAACAAGGCACCCTTGCGAATCCAAACTATGTGTTCCCTAAAATAAAAGAAAGGAAAATTTATCAAAATGCACCATACATTTGAACTAT